TAAACCTCCCTTGCTGCAATTTAAGCCCATTGCTTCTTGTCCTATCCTCAGAGGTTAAGAAGAACAATTTTTCTTTCTCCTCCTTGTAACTACCTTTTACATACTTGAAAACTGTTATCATGTCCCCTCTCAGTCTTCTCTTTTCCAGACTAAACAAACCCAATTGTTTCAACCTTCCCTCATAGGTAATGTTTTCTAGACCTTTAATCGTTTTTGTTGCTCTTTTCTGGACTCTCTCCAATTTGTCCAAATTCTTCCTGAAATTTGACACCCAGAACTGGACACAATACTCCAGTTGAGGCCTAATCAGCATGGAGTAGAGCGGAAGAATTACTTCTCATGTCTTGCTTACAACACTCCTGCTAATCCTCATTGTTCAGTGTAGGGCCCCATCCTTTATTGACTGCATGCTTTTTAAACCCCGCTCTGAAGATAGAATTATTCATTTCTTCCTGGGTGTTTCCATGGCACTCATCATTGTAATATCTGAGTGCTTCACAAACATTACCTCCCTGCGAGATGCGGGGGTGGTATTATCCCCATTTTACAGATGGGGAGCAGGGGCACAGAGAGGTCAAAAGTATGTACTAATTTTGGGTGCCCCAGTTGAGATGCCTAGGACCTGATTTTACAGAGTATTCAGCATTACATAGCACTTTATATGTTCAAAGCACGGCTCCCATTGTCTTCAGCTGCAGTTGTGAGCACTTAGCACTTCTGCAGATCAGACACCAGGGTCTCAGGTTGGGCATCCAGAAAATGAGGAACATATAATTAGTGACCACCTGTGAAAAGTCTGCTTGAAGTGACTTGCCAGGTATCACATAGGAGCTCTGTGGCAAGAGGCAGGGATACAATCTCCAGGGGTGCATTCAACTGTCCTAACTATGAGACCATCCTTTCTCTCCCTGCAATCCCCTGTCTCATTCAGTGCAACCAGAATGTTTTACTGAGGTCCTGGCTGCACTTTTCCTCCTGCTGATCCATTCAGACCCCATCCATGGCCCCACAAAGTCCTGGGAGCTTCCTCGACAACCTCCTCCTGGCTCAGGTCAAGATGGCCATCCATCACTTTAGGAGGAGGAAGCTGGACAGGGGGGTTGGGGCCTATTTCCGGTCCCTTGTCACTCACATCTCTGGGCAGAGTCCTACAGACTCTCTGGATGCCTTTGAGGAGACGTGGGCACTGTCCAGGATTCTCTGCTCAGTGTCCCCCTCTGACTTCCTCATTCTTAACCTTTGACCTCACTCCCGATCCTGTTTTTTCATTTATTGTCCCCAGAAATCAGTGATAGCCTCGGTCTAGCAGTTCCTCCCCTTAGCCGAGGGGGTCAGGCCTTTAGTTTTGGGCAGACCTAGACCTGCTTGTCCCCAGTTCTACAAATAGCACACACCTTCCAGCATCAGCAACAAATAAGGTAGGAGTCCACAGACAACAGGTTTGTTCTCTACACCACCCTGATTTATCCCCAGAACAGGTCCCTCCTGTGCACTGACTGCATATGGGGTCTTGTGGGAAAAAATAGTGTCTCATCATGTAATTAAAGACTGTATCACAAGCATACACAAAAGTGGAGCAAATTAAGGTTGCAACCTTAATTCTGGCATTTCCCAACTTGGCTTTGCATCTTTAAAATTGTTCTTGTATCATAGATTGATCACACATACCTATGTGGACTGATCCAACACCACTAAAGGCAACAAGAGTTTTGCCTCTGATTTGAATACGAGTAGAAGGGGGGCAATAAAGCACATACTGTCAGAGATGATACTATCACCCTTTACCATTACTCAAAGCCACCACTGGGCTTTGGGTCAGGCCCTAAGTAAAGCAAAACAATTCGTGTAGGATCAAACCCAGACGTCATTATTCATGCAAAGCTCCTGAGTTTTGCCTGAGTAAGGACTGAGGGATTTGAGCCTCCATAATACCTTCCATGGTGAGTCTTATGCAACATGTTTGGGGGAGGGATAGCTCAGTGGTTTGAGCATTGGCCTGCTAAACTCAGGGTTGTGAGTTCAATTCTTGAGGGGGCCATTTAGGGAACTGGGATAAAAAAATCTGTCTGAGGATTGGTCCTGCTTTGAGCAGGGGGTTAGACTAGATGATCTCCTGAGGTCCCTTCCAACCCTGATATTCTATGTTTTTATAAATAGAATAGTAAACTGGAGAAAGAGGATCTTTACTCTCTGACACACACAAATGATTTCTCATGTACCCGGTAGAGCTGCTGTGTTATTTCAAAAATGAAGCAAGGCAGATTCAAAATTCAGAAGGGATCAGTTTTACTTAGAAATATTGTAGCAATGGATCGGTTGACAGCTCTTGGCCTGTTTTCGTGTATCAGACTAGCTTTGGTATTGCCTTCTTACCTGTGTAATAGAAAAGAAAACCTACGATGGATAAACTCTAGAATATGTATTCTAGAGAAAAGAACATTTCATCACTATGCGGAATAAAGATAATGGGTGAGATCTTGGCCCCGATGGAGTCAATGGCAAAACTCCCATTGACTTCAATGAGATCAGGATTTTACCCACTATCTATACCCCATACCCAATGTTTTTAACATGGTACATGTAATGCTAAAGCATCCGATCTTTCAAGCCTTGACTTCAGTTGGAGTTCCAAGCAAAGAGTGCTTGTGGGATCGGACCTCAAATGATAATGTGTTCAAGAAAGAATTGCATCCAATGTTTTATTACCGTTCCATTAGATCAATAGATAGATCATGTCAGTGAAGTGGTACAGGATGCAAGTCACAAGCAGAATTTTTCTCCCTGTTCCTCGTGAAAGACTTTTGGTGGCAAGGCCTGATCCAGCTTCCTTTAAAGACAATGGAAAGACACCAATTGATTAGGCATTAGTGAAAGAGTCTTAAATCCATGTTCTGATCTCACTTAGAATGGTGTCAGTCAGATCAGAATCAATACCTTAGTCTTTACCGCCAATCCGTTGATGAGTCAAAGGAGGGAAAGGTTGAAGTGTTATGAATTTTTAAAAGGGCAAAAAAATCTCAAGCTTAATATTGCCAAAGATGATGACTTCCTTTGATTAGTCAGACTAATTGAGACTAGCTTTATCATTAGCAGATGATTAATTAGGAGTCAATGAGATCTCTATTTGCACCACAGTAATCCTCCACTCCATTTTATTTCAACATTTAGTCTTTATGTTTTAAATATTCATTGAGAAAGCAGGTGATTAACATAGATTTGTTTTGATTTTATGTTTACACATCTTTATCAACAGCATAAAAGGGAACCAGCCAGTGTTACAAAATCGTTACTGTGTGTGCCATATACATCCCGTTCATTCCTCAGTTGTGGATGTAGACTTATTTCGGCTATATTTATTTGGAAGCAGGGGGGAGGAAGAAGCTAAACAAAGACAACACAACAAATCAAAGTCTTCTTTGGCCCACTTTATTTTCATCTTGAACGTTACCAACAGGAACTGTGGGCCCAATCCTGCAACCCTTTGCTCGCATGAGAAATTCCTACTCTTGTGAGTAAGCCCACGGAAGTCAATGAACCTGCACCTGTTGCCCTGGGTATAGTCATGTACCCAGTGCAACACGTGTATGAAATGTTACCAGATCAGAATGGTATTTTATAGCCACTTTGCATTGGAGTAAATGGTTACACACAATTCAGAGCAAAGGTGAAGCAAGCCCAATGGGTTTAATTCTCATCTCATGTAAATTGGTGTAAATCTTATTCTGAGTTCAGACCAGTATCACTGACAGCACAGTTTGGCCCAGTGGGACTACTTGAATGAGTAAGCATTATTCATGTAAGTGGCTGCGAGATGGAGCCTCCACTTTGTAAGTAAAAGGAATTCAGCTGTTGTATTGGCCTCATATGTTGCCACCCTCAGGGCATAATAATCAATTTGCAGGTCATTTTTGTTGAGAGTTGAATATTATTTTTGTTTAATGACAACTATGAGGTCTACAGACCTGACAGTGTTGCCAACCCTTGTGATTGTATCACAAGTCTCAGGATGTTCGGTGCTTTTCTTAAAGCCCCACTTCCTGGAGTCATGTGATTATGTAAAATTTCAACTTTCTTTTTAAAGTTTCCAGCCCCCATGTTTGTGGAGAAACACTAGAAAAACATGAACCCTAAAGACTCAAACACCAGAAAGCAAGTTAAAAGACCCCCCAAATGTATTTATTTATTTTAAATCTCAATATTTTAAAATTCATCTCCTGAATTTTGGGGGCCTGGCTCATGATTTTTGATGGCTAGGGGTTGGCAATATAGATTTCATCATCATCCTTTGTATACTGTTAAGCTTCCTGCTTCTGCAGTAAGCTCCATCCACTTCTCTGAGGCTCAGCAGGAACGCAGGCTCTGTCCACATAGAGATCACTCTAGGAGCTGGACTTTAGACTGTAAAAAAGGTCTCACTGCATAAAGAGGTGCTTTAGGGCAGCAATCTCTAGCACAGAACATGAGGAAAGCTTATCACCATACAGGATTTTTTCCAAAGGTCTCGAGGCTTTTTTTTTAAAGGCCTAAAGCAGAGTTAGGTACCTCTCTGCTAGCAGTACCTTTGAAAGCCTCCACACTAAATTCCTCATAGTACATTTGTTGTCGTGGTTAGCACAGGGGCTTGAACCTGCAATCTCGGCAGCATAAGCTTCTAAAGCCTAAGTGAAAGGAACGATTCGCCTAGCTGGGAGCTGCAGCAGAGTCATATGCTTTGCAAATGAGGGGATCTGTAACAGACACTGAACAGTGGGCCACTCTAACGTGCACTTCATTTATTTTATTTTATTTTATTTTTAAACCACCGCAAACATTGCACTGGCCGTCGAAAGGAGCTGAAAAAGATACACGTCGCCCATACCCAGGAAAGCTATTTAATAAATATCATCAAAACAAAAATGAAAAGAATCCCCCTCCACACACCGCCAAGCACAAAACGCCTGTAAGTCAACAGAATTTAATCTAGTTTATTCTCCAAAAAAAAAAAAGGAAAAAAAAAAGAAAACAAAACAAAACAAAAAAAAAAAAAAAAAACAGGTCTTAACACTAGCAGTAAATAAATTTATACAACCATTCAGTCTGTATTATAGGATGAAATAAATCTACATCTTTCTTAATTTGGTGCTTTGAATTATACATACAAACAACAATTACAGGAACTTGTTCACAATGCATATAGGCCTGAAGAATGGCTATCTGAAAACCCTCACTGGCAAATCCATATGTTAACACTGATTGCCCCAAAACCATTATTACTTCCTATGTAGAAGGCCTGGTGCCTTGAATGAATGATCTGCCTACAGCTTTTAGTTAGTTAGTTAGTTAATGCATCAAACAATTTGAGCCAGCCAGAGAGAGAGAGAGAGAGAAGACACGACTGGCGGTTTGTCCATTCGTTCGTTAGATCTGGTTCTTCTCAGTCGGCATTTTTATTCTCCTCCCCATCCGCCTTTAAAAAATTTTTCCTCTGAGTCCTTCATGCCTGTCTTTACAGCTTACCCAGATGCAATAAAGTCTTCCTCAAATGTACAGTATTCCTTACAATATAAGTTATATGCAATGTTCAGCTTTTTTTTTTCACAGCACTAGAGACCCTGTTAAATAGGGAATATGAGTCTGAATGGCTTATTCACAGATGGAGTCCAGATTCAGAGGTTGAGAATACAGACACCATAGTGAGTTCCTTTAAAAAGTGGCAAACATCACTTTTGTTTTCCTTTTTTTTTTCTTTTATGCCTTCAAATAACTTTTTTTTTTTTTAATTTTTATCCATTTGTTTTGGGCTTCAAATGGATAACCGCACGCCTGCAAAAATGCAAGTATATAAAGTAAATCTCATTTTGAGACCGTAAGCATTCAGCAGGGGGAGTCTGTCTCTAACCCATGGCAGTGACCATGCTGGAAGGATGATGAGGTCCGAAAGAGAGGCTGGATGGCGGGTGCATCGGTGTCGGCGTAGTCAGCATGTGGCTAGAGTGACTAAAAGGTGAAATGTGGCTGATGGAGGACATGTGTCTGGAGAGGGCGGCGGGGTTAAAGGAGCTGCTCTTGGGGAAATCTTCCAGGTTGTCGTGGACTTTTTTGCACTTTTTGGATTTGCTAGACATTTTTCGGTTTCTGGTCTGAATTCCTTCTTTCTTCATAGTCAGGGGTCTGTTAATCTAAACAAAAATCAATTATTTTTTTATTGTTTTTTTTGCTGCTGTGCCTCCTCCCCAGATCACCGTGGAACTCATCACCGACACATCATTAAGACCTGGGAAACGGCCAACCAAATTCCAGATGCAAACGAGTCTTTTGGGGGCATGTGAAAAAAAAAGCTGGTAGGGTTTCACGGTTGCCAAGACTAATGTATGTAACTTCCAGTGACCAAAAGGTTTAGGTTACCATGTTCCAGGACACTAGGTAACCGGAGTGCATCTGCAAAACAAGCTAGTGAGTATCAGCTCATATAGTCCTTAAAGGCACTATCTCAACCCTCAAGGCCTCTTGTTACAGCAAATTTAAAATCATTAAAGCTGATATCCAGTGAAATAATTAAATCTCAATCTTGTCTACAAAGGACCTAAAATACTCTTGTCGCCATCATAGAACTGGGGAAATGCTGCAAAACATGAGCAAAAAATATTATTGGTATTTGTTTTAAATAAATTTGCTTTGGACATGCTGACTCCTTTTTGTGTGTTCCTTTTCTGCAGATATTGTCTTGATGTGAGTTTTACTGGCAGGAAGCAAATTTAAAATTCACACACACAAATATTTGCAGAAAACCCAAACATTAAATTCTCATGCATGAATATTTGCCCAAGAAGTGAAATTCACACATCCAATCAGGGAAAAGAAACAATACCATGTGACTTATCGAACCAACCACAACTAAGCTCAAGAAGGAAATGCTGAATATCTAATTCCCAAGGCTGAAATTCATCTCTATTCAGAGGCCAGTATCAGACACATGTCCCACTTAAGTCCCACTTACAGTTTAAGGGCTTAGCTGGGACTTAAGTGATGCAAAGGCCTTTTCCTGACTTCTCTGCACAGGGATGAATTTCACCCACAGCAAACTATGCTCCATCCAGATAACTCAACAAAATCCCCAAAATATTAACCAGATCATTTTGACTATTACTATTAATAATATATTTGAGGGAATCACAATCAGCTGGTGGATATCATGCAAGCGGGAAAAGAGGCTAAATAGATCTGATAAATTATCCATTGCAAATTATTCTCTCACCTCTAGTAAATGATGACAAATAGGGGTGTAAAAATATCATTCCTGCACCGTTGTGACCATTATTTATGATTACAGGAAAATTTACCTTCTTGTTTGTAGGCATATGAGTTATTAATTAAGGTATGCAATAGTCCACTCAGGTAGGGCAAGTTTTATCTCCATTCTATAGAGGGGGATCTGAGGCCCAGATCAGACAGGAAGCCTATGGAAAAGCCAGGAAAAGGACCACGCTTACGTGGGTCCCAGTCTAGCACCTTTAACTACAAGACCAGCCTGCTTCTCAATTGCCTTTTGTAACTCAGAGGATCGGAACCTCTGAGAGATGAAGCTTTTCACCTGTAGAATGCTGGCTCAAATCCAGCCCAGGTCAGTAGTCATCAAAAGTTGCTATCATCCGAGTCTGTTTGATGGCCTATTTTAAATGAGTCAGTGGTGTCATCCCCAGTTCCTAGCGGAGAAGTATTCCCATTAGATTGCTAATGAGGCTGCCAATTGAAAATGGAGAGTCCTGGGACTGAACGAGCACAGAATGTGAGCTACCCATTTAGTTTGAAGGACACTCAGGTTTGAAGGGTATTGGGGACAGTTTGCACCATTCCTGACCACACCATACGTGTTCGGTAGATATACAGACCACTGCCGTCAAGGTGGTCAATTCTGCACTTTCCACCAACACTGGGTGGGGGATACCAGAACATGTGGCCCCATTTCTCCCAGCAGAGTGAGTGCTCGTGAGTTCCTCATGGCAAGATCATATGCAATATGCGCCGTGTGCAAGTGCTATACACAGGTGCCCTCAGTGATCTGGCAGGAGAGACCCGAGGCTGAATTTTGCTGTGATCCCAATGGCAGGATAGAAAGAGATTTTGGTTTTCCACTGACTTTAAAATGTAGTTGCGGTATAATTAAAAGGTCACCCATAGGAACTGAACCCACGGATCTTTCTCTGTTTCCACTGCACATAAACATGAGGTCCAAAGGTTAGGACACGGCTCCCTTTTCAACAAAATTACCTCTGCAGTAAAAGCTAAACACATGCTAAATAAGAGATTATTTCGAGTAGCATAATAATAGAAATGGGCCAAACACATTTTATATGAAAATCATTCATTTCAGATGGATCCCATTAATTATGGGCAGTCCTGCAAGGAAATATGTTCTCTGCTTTACTGTATGCAGCATACAGACTATTCTGTTCTTGGGACACACCGCTCCACTGCCCTGTAGCTTCCAGCTATTGCGAAATAAGGGTCAGAACTTGCATCTATTGAAGTCAGTGGCAGCTCACACATTTAAAAGGGTGCACATTTGAGGTCTGTGAGCCCGATCCTGTGAGAGGCGGAGGGCCTCCTGCCAGGTGCTGAGCATCCTCCACTCCCTTTGAAGTCAATCGGGCCTGATCCTATTTCTAGGGAATATTGCATGTAAGTTCAATGCGGCAAGATCGGCCCCGAAAGCCCCAAATCCAACACATCAAATAGATGGAATAGTCAGAGATGACCCGTGCCTGCCCTTGGTGGGGGGGGGGAAAGTGAGGGCAGACAGCTTCAGCACTGTTACTGAGCATGCTCAGTCCGTGTGAGCATGCTCAGTACAAGCCAAGCAGCAAATCTGGGGGGGAGGGATGCTGTGACTCTGCATGCTCCCCTCCCCCCCGCGTCGTCTGTGGATAGTCTTATATATTATAGGTCTGATCTTGCTCAGACTGAAGACAGCGGGATTTTTGCCATTGACCTCAACGGTGCTCTGTGGCTGCAGCAGATTTAGTCATTATAATGCTCAGTTAATCTCTAGGAGTCCCTTTATCTGAGAAAGCACTTGAGGATCTCAGAAGGCGCCCTATAAATGTGAAATATTAGTAATTATTAATATGATTGTTAATGGGTCCTATTAAAGTCAATAGGACATTTGCCAGTGACTTCAATAGAAGCAGGAATGAGACTATTATTACTAACATCCTCCAGGCAATTGGGTTTGCTTTACCAGCAGGAATCTAGTGGAACACTAAAAATAAATTAGCATAACTGGGAGGGTCAGGGAATAGCGTCAATATCCCAGCCCTGCTGTCATGCCAGCCATGGAATTGGTCTCACTGGGAGTTTTCCCTACAGATCATTTGCAGGAGTGGGCTCTAAACAGACAACAATTTAAAGGTCTGAATAAAACTCATTAATAAAAACACGAAAATGCAAGAACAATAAAAAACGTATTCCATATATTTGATCCATTATATTCAGTGACTATTCCTCACAGTGCCCACACTAAAAGATGTTGAATGCTTCTTTGGAGGGACAGAGGGCCTTAAATTCATACTGATCACCACAGCTTACTAGAGACTCATAGCACCGGTTAAGAATGGACTTATCTGATGAGACCCGGCGCCGTACAGACTTCTGTCTCACCGCTCACTAGAAACTAGTGCTGGTTTGAAAACGCACATGGCCAGATCCTCGGCCTGTGCAAACTGGTGTTCCTCCATCAACTTCAGTGATGTCCCTTTACAGCACTTGAGGATCTCTACACTTTCTTGTAAATATATTAGCCTCTAGAGGAAGCCTGTCCACCTGCCATAACCGGCCCCCTCTGTAGCAAAGTATTGACTGAAGGATTAGTCTGGTGCTATTCACAAGACAGTTAACACAATCTTATCGATCCTGCCTCCCAGAAAGACAGCAAAGGAGGTGGCCTCCGCTTGAAGGCGACTCAACAAAACTCCTAATGCTTTACAGCACATCATGGAAATCAGTCACCATACGGGATGCTGCCTTCCTGCCCTCTTCCTCACCACACTCCCAGGTATCTGCTTTCACAGCCTGCCTTCTCCCACCTATGTTCCCTCTGGTTTGGTTTCTTTGCTGGTATTTGCTTATCTCCCTAACCTCCACAACACGCTAGGGCCTTTGCAATCAGAGGCTCTTACATTGTCTGGGCAGGAGAAAGGTGTTAATAAATAAAACCTTGATCTTCCACCTCGCAGTCAAAGATCTTTAGATCTTGGGGGGGAGGTGATATTTTCAAGTGAAAAGCAGTGCTGGGAGTTGCTACCTTCCCTTTCCCATCAGGGCTAAAGACAGAGCTGCAACTGGACATCATCCACGAGGAAAGAGGATCTTATTCATTAACGGCCAGTTTTGAAACTCTTGCTGATCAGTATCTTACTCCACCAGCAGTCCCATTTAAGCCAATGGATCCACTGAGAGCAAGATGCCACTCGACTTGAGTAAAGGGTATCAGAATCTGGCCCATGTACTATAGCCGCCACCCAGGTTGTTGTTGTCACTGGCTGAAGATGTTTTTAAAGAATGTGAAAGTGGTTCTAATCTGCTCAGCATGAGCGATGTGCCCCATGTCACAAATTTCACAGCTGAATCTGAACTTCCCCAAAATTTGGATCTGGGGGGCGGGGAGGCCTGGATCAGGTCCACGACACACAGGATACATAGTCATAAAAAAATGAATGGGTGAGTGAACCTGCAAAAGCCAGACAGGTTTGGATAGGAACCCGAGCTCCCTGCTACTTTCTGATCCCTCTTGGACTGGAAATACCATGGGACAGTTCAGTGCTTTCACTCCAGATTCCTGGAGCCAGCTGCCATTGGAGGCAATGGCCACTTTTTCGGTGACTTCAATAGGAAGAGGGTGGTGCCCTTCGTTCACTCCTTGAGACTGAAGGAGTGTGGAGATATGTGAAAATGAAAACGAATGGGGAAAGTTAACCAAACTTTGTTCCATGCTCAATAAGGGGGGCATGGCTAGGCTTGGGCAAAGATCTTGGTCATTTTTTATTTTACCCAAACTGGTTCTCTCATCCCTAGAGACAAAACAGCTTGAATATTAAATGGAAATGATGGCCCAGCTAATGCCCTCAGCTACACTCAGCTCAGTATTTCTAAATGAAACATAAAGCAAACAACCACTCCAAAAAAATGTGACATCAAAGCAAAGCAATTGTAAGTCTTTGCCTTCTTTCTTACGTTGTTATTATTATTATTATTATTATTATTATTATTATTCCAGGTATGGAATGAATGTAACAGTGTCTATTATTAATTAATAAAATAAATAATAATAATAATAATAATAATAATAATAATAATAATAATTGGTATAACTCTTCCCAGATCCCTTTAGATCTTTCCTTAGGGCATGCATCCCTGGTTTAGGTGAGCTGGCTTTGCATGGAGCTATTAGATTAAATCTACCAGACATTTCATTTCATCTCCCCTTCCCTTCCACAAGCAGCGCTTTAAAATTCACAGCACAGGTTTAGCAGACTCTTCATCCCACTAACTAAATCAAATCCTCTTCATTTTAGGAATTGCGTGTACCATCCCGGGCAATTATAGTTACCTTTTTGAAGGGGGGGGGGGGGGGGGGGGAAGGAAGCAAGGAGGGGCCTAAGAAATAATGGCTGGTGTGTTATTTTTGTCCTGAGTTCATATTTTCTCAAGGAACCGGACTTCGCATCCAAAGCGTATCAGTTTGCAACATGGCATGTTGTCTTTTCTAGTGTGCGGAGTCCAACACAAAGTAGATAATATCGCTCTCTGTTGATAAACTCCTCCTTTCTTGGCTTGCGCATGGTAAAGGTATATCGTTACTGATCTGTGGGCCTGTCTTATAAGGCTTCAAACCGGGTCCTGTTACATCAATTCTATTTTAATCAAAATCATTAAGGAGGGGACGGGGAGCATTTCCTCATCCTGGCTAATGGTCTGATCCTGGCAGGTCCCAAAGGGATAAGTGGGTGTTCCGAACCTCTCAGGATTGGGGCCCTTTAAGTTCCGGAGAATTTTTAATGTACGTGCCTGAAACAGAAGCTTCCTGACGAGAGTTACAGTTACACTTACATTGTGCAGCTTGTAATAGAGCCCGCAGGCGTTACAGACGGGATCACCATTGGCATTTCTCCTCCACAGCGTGGTGGTGGTGGTCTGACAGTTTGCACAGGATGTGCCCGCCCGTCTTGCTGCAGACTGAGGTAAGGTGGGAGAAAAAAAAGCCCCCGTATTAAAAAGATTCAATCAGCAAAACCACTGAGCCAGCAAACAGAAACTGGACAAAACTACTGCACGTTGCTAAATGACTCATGAGAACAAATAGTAATTCTGAAAATCCCCAAGGTGCGTTCATCCCAAATTATATAGGAACGGCACTGGGGGCCTACAGTAAGTGCCAAACCTCCAGAAGAAATCATCCAAAACAGCAGCTCTGGCAGATCACGTTTCAGAGGGGAAAACATTACTTAAATGCCATCAGGCTTTTCCATTTTAAACCTTTCAGGTGCCTGTGGGTCTGATTCTGCATTTAGGGCCCAAACTAACAACCACTGAAGTCAACGGAAAGCCTGGCGTTGACCGCCCTGGGTATTGGATCAGACCCTAAAGCACATTCAAAACTCGGACGTCACTGGGCATTTTGGATGTGCAAAGAATGCAGGATCAGGCCCCAAATAAGGCTCCGTCCTGTAGACTTCACTCACATTGAAGCGCACAGAACTACTGCACAGGCTCCGTCTTGTAACTCATATTTCAGCTAAGGGTGGCAGCAGCTGACTTCTCAATCACGTAATTTTAAGCCAAACGTTTCAGTTCATTTGAGTATTTATAGATCTGAAATAAGACTTCACCGTTTTATAGAAGCCATATAAGAAAAGGAAAAAAAGAACCATTTTCATTACCTGTAAAATAAGAATGTAGAAGGACATTTGGGAATGTACTCCCTCTTTTATACATATGTTATAATTAACAATCAAAACTTTTACCATTTTGCTCCACTCTATCCATCTGCGATGCATAAACTGAGCTCCACTTTGTCATGTGTTAGGGTACGTCTACACTACCCGCCGATTCGGCGGTTAGTGATCGATCTATCGGGGATCGATTTATCGCGTCTAGTGTAGACGCGATAAATTGATCCCCGATCACTCTGCCGTCGACTCCTGTACTCCACCGTGGCGAGAGGCAGAAGCGAAGTCGACGGGGGAGAGGCGGCAGTTGACCCCGCGCCGTGAGGACGCGAGGTAAGTCGACCTAAGGTACATCGACTTCAGCTACACTATACTCATAGCTGAAGTTGCGTATCTTAGGTTGATTCCCCCCCCCCGCCCAGTGTAAAACAGGCCTTAGGCTTTCAAATAAGATATTTAAAGCCAAAGTCCTTTCTGCCCCTCACGAACATTAAATGGTTATTGGGCTCTGATTCCACACCTATTCATTGGCTTCAAAGGGACTACTCATGAACTGAAAGTTAAGCGTGTGCTTAAGTGCTTTGCTGGAGCTAGGCACCGCTCAGCACCTTGAGGAACTGAGTTTTAATTCTCTTCTTTGTGCCACTAATCTAACCATTTACCCCACTACCCACTCCAGCTGCCTATCGCAGCACATACAACATTTAAAAATCACTAAGTCTCTGGACACTGTACAACAAATCTAAAACACAAAGGTGGACATTAGGGGTAGTGTTCACTTTAACTGTGAATTTCCTGGCTTTTGGTAGGTCATGTTACAACTTAAATAATAATTAAATGTAGTGTGGGGAGTCAAGGGGTGGGGGAGGGGCTGTTTTATTGGGCATTACATGTCCTTTGTTTATTGGCTGGTTAGGATTTTCATTATTTAGACAAAAGAAGTGTGAAACATAAAGTAAATACATACACATACAATAACCTGCTTAGAACACTCGCCATGATCGAATTCAAAGGGGCTGCCATGATCTGGGCCAATGGGAGTTTAAGGTATTTCAGGAATGCAAGGATCAGGTCCTAGTTGTGTATACAAAGTAGGCAAGATAGGCAGCAATTTGTCTGTGGTTCAAGCCATTTAATTTGATTTTAACTGTTAGTCTGCATGTGACGGGCTATAACTGGAAAAACACTGTGGGTGAAATCCTGGTCCTATTGACTTCAAGGAGTCTTGAGGTCCTGAACCTAGACTTTGCTCAATGGAAACTCCCACAGACTAAAGAATCAAGCTCTGAGGACCTCATCTCAAGCACTGAAAAGTTTCCAATTGGCTTTAGTGGGCCGTGGATTGGGCCCTAAATGTGCTAAAACTAACATGCAAACATTACATTTTCTGCCAAGTCCAGGCTACCAAAAAAGAAAAGAGTGAAGCCAAGGTGGGATGCAAATATGGCTAGTGATCATGATAAAGGAAAGGGTAGTTTTGTTCTGATCTCATTAAGGAAAATGAGGATTAATTAAGAGATCTAACTGGCAAACTTTTAAACAGGGGAGCCCATGCAGAGTAGTAGTATGTTACACAACATGTGAAGTAAACAATCAGTTGCAGTCTAGGACCTTGTCTACACTACAGGGGGAGATCGATCTAAGTTATTCAACTTCAGCTACATGAATAGTGTAGCTGAAGTCGATGTACTTAGATCTACTTACTGCGGAGTCCACACTACGCAATGTCAACTGGAGACGCTCTCCTGTCGACTCCCCTTGCGCTTCTCATTCAGGTGGAGTACAGGAGTCGACAGGAGAGCGATCTGCGGTCGATTTAGCAGGTCTTCACTAGACTCACTAAATCGACTGCTGATGCATCAATCGCCGCACGTCGAACCCCCCAGTAAGTGTAGACAAGACCTAGGATTATTTTCTAAATGTGGCAATTCTTTTTAGCCCATCATAACAGGTTTTTCAATGCAAAAATTGCAAATAAATTAAATGTTAACACTCCAAATTGTTTCAAAAATTATGCCAGGTGTCTGCATGCTCTGAAGTGAGTATATTCAGATTTACAAAAATATGAACTGCAGACACATTCTTGCTAGGCAAAGGGAAAGGCGTGTGCGT